GTTGAATTGATTCTTGATTCAGATCATACATATCAAACTGCTAACTAAAATCTTAACAATATTTAATCGTCCCACATTTTAAAATTGGTATAAAAAGTTCAACTACTTTGAACATAAAAAATATGTGGCATTGTACACGTTTACAAAAAATGTTTTCCACAATAAAGGCCCCGAATTCCGCAAGGTTCAAACTTCCATGAGTAGGAAATCAGAACATTTCGTTGAATTTCGCAAAAAAGGGGCGGAAAAAAGAAGCGTGAAGTAATTTCGCGTTGCTGCATAAGCTATTAATACCATTTGACAGGGCTCCGCACATCCAATTGCCGTTGACACATCAATCCGAGGCTTAACAAAAAAAAAGTTATTTCTAACTGGCTCTTATTGAATTGGGACCGGTGTTCGGAATGACGAGCGAATGTTTTCGACATGCCTGGCGCCTCCAAATAAACTAAATACAATGAAACTGTGTGCACATTTAATAATTGGATAATTTCGCCCGGAAATGGGTTTGGATTGTGCGAGTGGAAACGTTTTGATTGATCGAATAAAGTAGTTATTACGGGAAATTATTGGAATGCCTCTATTTCCATTGCGGATGGAAGCGTCGTGCTGTCAAATTCATTCGCCGGTTTATTTAGAGATCGAGAGATGAGCGTAGTGGAAATAGGTTTTAAAGCTATACGATTCGAGTCTGATTTTTGCCTTTATCTGCTTGCATTTGGCGGATTTTAAATGGAAAGTTGGAAAGTTTCTACTCAGGTTTGTTGCAGATTCTACTGCTTTGGAGTGTGAACGTACCAGAATCAAAAAGCGCGCAGGGTTTCAAGTTGTACACGACACTGATTGAAATGCAGACGCTTTTATATGAAAAAAAATTGTTTCCTGCTTTAAGTGCCATTTTATTATTCCTTGTCAGTCTCGAGCGCAAGTTTAGAATTAAGTTAATAATATAATATACAGGATGATTCACATCCTTATGGACACAGAGCAGGGGCGTGTAGAGGATCTCAAAACAAATCGAGTTTCTATTTAAGTTTTTTTCTGAGACCCACGGTTAACGAGATAAAGGGGTGTTAAAGTTAAAAAAAAAAATTGGTATTTTCTCTTTAACTTCTACAGTTTATGAGATATTTTGCTCAAATTTTCAACGTACGCTAATGTTTAGACCCTTTACCCGTAGGTAAGGCGACTGGTGAAAATCTACAGGGTGTTCGTTTTCTAGAGGCATACCCCCTTTTACCCCCCCGAACTATTTTGTGGTGCGCCACTGACTTCGACCGAACACATTGTTGCATTTGTTGTCCAATTCAAGAATTTTCTGATCTCTTTCAGTTCTTTCGTATCTGTCTTCGTTTTAGAGGTATTTGCACAAGTATAAGTTCATGTAGAGGTTCTGGGTGATTTTCTATACATTTTTTTTATAAATTTTTTTTGTGTCCGTTTATTCTCATTTTCTGTGAAACCTTCAAGTGCAAGTTGAAGTTAAAATAGGGATGGCTGACGAGTCAACTTTAAAATTTAATATTTTTTTACTTCACTTTAATTTACAATAATTGAGGTTGATCGGCTGTAAGATAATAAAAATACACAAACATATAACGAATATTTCAATTTATTATGAAATTATTTTTTTTCACAAAAAAATGTGAACATAAGGACGCATAAAAATTGGAAGAAAATTCATAGAAAATCACCCAGGAACCCTACACGGACTTATATTTGTGCAAATAACTGGAAAACGAAGACAGATACAAACAAACTACAAGAGATCAGAAAATTATTAAATTGAACAGCAAATTCAAAAATTCGTTCGGTCGAAGTCAGTGACGCGCCATAAAAAGTTCGGGGGGTAAAAGGGGGTATGCCTCTAGAAAGGTCTCATGTTCATGCTCAAAATAAAATTCAAAGAAAAAGAACGGAATAAAATACACTTGAAAGCAGACCTATAAATGAAAATTCACTAGGTGATTTTGTTTCATGGTTTGATAATGATTTTTTTGGTATAGGAAACACTTGCATTTCGAAGAATTTGAAAAAAAAAAATAAGTCAATATTTTTAGGCATATATTTATAAATTTATAAAAAGCTATCTCAGAACAAGAGTCTTTAGGGTATTGACAATATTTTCTTGAGTTCCAACACATATTGCTAAGATCTACAGCTTTAATAATTTTATCTGTGATTCTAGCCTTAAAAAGAATTGATTAAATGGTGGAATACAAGACTATTTTTGAAGATAAAAGTTCTAAAATAACTGGGTTTTACCTGCTAGAAACTTTATTTTGCTGACGCGAGTTTGAAAAAAGGTGTGTTAATTCAAGTCTTGATCCTGCTAATCTTTCAGGCTCTATTTTAATAACGAGGCATAATTTTCAAAAAACAATCCACAATAATAAAATCCTGAAATAATTTAGAAAACTTTCTTAAATAGGCCATTTTCAGATATCTC